TCCAGATTCTAGCTTAAGTGAGGCGTGGCAGGCTTTCCGAAGTCCTAGTTTATTCTAACCTTTCTTGTGAGCAGGAGCAGTGTCAGTCAGATGGACAGACACATGGGGAATCTGCCCAAATGGTCCCCACTGCGTTTGAGCTCTTTGTGTACATGGATAACTGGGAAAAAGAGGAAGGAAGCACCAGACCCAATCCTAACATTTGTGAGGCCTCGGGCAAGAGTGTGAATGAAAACCCACATCCACACATCTAAACATTTTAAAGTTCTATGCTAATAAAACTGCTAAATAAAATATGTTCCATCCTTCTACCTGGATGACTATCCCTCCATAAGAACCTGGAAGGCCAGATTCAAATGTAGAATTCTTGGCCCCTGGGAATTTTGTACCTGCATATAGTGACGTGAGCAGAGCCAGCCCGTCTGTCCACTTCCCTTCCCCTGCCTGGCTCCATCACCCATAGTAAAGGCCTCGAGCTTACGTGTGGACATTCTGCTGCATATCTGAGCTCTGACCATGCTCCCTGCCTGAAACGGCTATTCCTCAGCTACCCACAGTTCTCAGAGATCTGCAACGCCAGACACAGAGTCTGCCCTTAGGAAGACTGACCTGGGGAAGACAGCCACTTAGGCCCTGTAAATATGTGAGGGCTATCTGGGGAGGGAATTCCAAGATCCTGGGAGTATGGACTACAATGTGGGCCAGGCACTCCAGATAGTCACATTCCACTGACTTCAAGGATTCCTCATTCTGTGGGGAGAGATCTCTCCACAAGAGGCACAGAGCAGGACCCTCTAAATGTGAGACCAAAAGCAGGAGCCCCTCCTTGTGGAGTCGAGGGTCGTAGTGGAAATGTGCTGATCCCTATTCTCACCATCGTTCACATCCCTTACACACCCCTCTCCACGTTCTTAGCAACCTGGCCACAAAGAGAAACTGTTCACGTGTATCTTTTGGTCCATAAGTCACAAATAGTTATCCTTGATCCCATATCTCTTAAGAGCCACAGACAGAGAGAAGCAAAAATATCGCAAATTCACACTGAGTTGTTTCTCTTCACATCTCTTAGCAGTATATGAAAGGTTGTCAGAGACTTAGGCTGGGTTCCCGTCCTCTGACTCCGAAATGACAAGGTTGACCTCTTGATCAACCCACAGTCCACAGTGGAATCTCAGGCCATCCTCTCTGCTATGAGATGGCACACTGTTTTAGGAGCTTGTGCACTTAGACACTAGCTATGGCAAAAGGCTTTGAGTCTTAAGACACTCCAGGTAACTTTACTTTAGGAATTTGAATGCAGGCTCGCTACCGTGCTGTCTCCTTTACAAAGTAGTATCTTTAAAATATTTAACAGCTTGAAAAGGAAACCAAGCTTAAATTTTCCTTCCAGGCACTGAGGAAATAGTATTTCACTTCTGTCTGAAACTCACCATCTCAGACAAAGAAGGCTCTTATGGTAAAAGCAATGGCATTTTCTCCACAATTTTCAAACGAAAGATAAAGAGAAAACATCACTGCAGCCTTTTTGTTAGGATCTAACAATAAAGGAACAATACAGTTTTGCCAGGGGAGAGCTCTGGTTTTAAGCTCAGAATACAAAAACAGTTAGAATGACAAATTTTACAAAGGAATATTTTCAATTACTATTCTGAGGCTGGTAGGAAGTGAAGTTTCAAGAAATTACCTCATTTTACTGTTTGGAGGTATTTTATGATGGTGATTGAGTTGATGGGGCCAGTCCTATGTGGAATTCTAAAGAAACGTGATTTCACTTTTTCTGCTCATCCTTCTCCCCCCCCCCCCCCCCCCCCCCCCCCCCCCCCCCCCCCCCCCCCCCCCCCCCCCCCCCCCCCCCCCCCCCCCCCCCCCCCCCCCCCCCCCCCCCCCC